CCCCACAGCTTGAGGTGTGAATGACACTGCCACTTCTCCATCCTGCTGTTGATGACCATAGAGTGTCTGAGCCACAGGGGGCCCAGAGGTGACCTCCTATAACCCCCCATTGTACAGAGGGAGAAATGGAGGCCCAGAGAGGGGCCACATAGCAAGTCAGTGTAGAGCCAAGGCTGGGGTTCCTCCAGTGCCTGCCATCTGGGGTGGGGACACAGGGCTGGAGCAGCACTGAGAAAGAGACAGAACACTCTGGGGGACTGGACAAAAGAGACATCCTGGCCACCCCACAGCTCCCCTAGTGATTGAGGTGAGCTCAACAGGGGAGTGTGAGGGATGGAGGAGACTTCTGTTGACTGAGTTCCTCACTGGGCCCCCTGCTGGCTCTGTCACCTCAGGGGTTGCAGGTCTCAGTGCTTTACATGGCTGAGGCAAAGGGTAGGGTAGGATTTGCCCAGTTGTACCAGAATGTTAGGACTGGGCCTGACACCAGAATCCAAGCCCCAGGCAACCACCCAACACGCCATTCCCACAATGGGGTGGTGAGCGCCTGGACGCTGGAAGGGGCTCAGCTTCCTGTCCCAGCTGTTCCAACACCGTGTCCATCTCTGGTTAAGACTTTTTCTACCAGCCACCCATTCAGTAAAACAAGCTCCTTGGCTGGATATCAGGGACATTTGGTCCTCGCCCTTGTAGCTCATAGGCCTGGAGATGGGAGACAGCGACCCTTGAGGGGAGAGAAGATGAGACTAAATCATTGCAGTGAGGAGAGGAGGATGGAGGGGAGGATTCCAGAGAGTTAGAATTAGCAAGAGGACATGTGGTGTCCAGGATCCAAGTGCCCATGGGTGATGGTGGCCAGACCTGAGCTTAGGATACACATACTATTGGGTTGTTTCTCAGACCCACAGAGCCCTTCTAAGCAATGAGTGCTGACGAGTAAGACTGGCCCCTACTAGCGGAAGGGCTGGGAGAGTCTCTCCAGGTCCCTCTCCATATTTCAGGGGAACATTGTCTCAGGGCTGAACTCCCTACTTTGGATGAAAAGCTATTTAATGCAGGCTCAACGTGATGGTCACATTAAGTTGTGCCATAAGGGAGCTTTTCCAGGTGTGAGGTTATTAGTTTCCTAGATGTAATTTCATAGGAGGAATATGGCCAAAATGAATCCTTATCAATCTAGCAACTGAAGCAGCCTATTTAAGACCCAAAATTGCAGGTTACCTCCATAGCATGTCTGTCAGTGACATCATAAACACTGAGTTCACTCCTCAGATAATCACAGAGAGCTGTGGGTGAGGCTCCATACCAGCCTCTGGGAATCCACAGCCCCTGCCTGCATTTCTTAGTTTATGTGGTTTCATTTTTTGCATTCAATTCTGTAGCTTGCCTAGAGTTTATTTTGGCATATGGTACAAGGTGAGGCTCTGAAATGATTTTCTTTCAATGTAAATTGTAATCTATGTCAGAGTCTTCACGAGCGAGTGATTCAACAGAATACTGGTCTCATCAGGTGCTCAGGAGTCAACAAGATCTGTAGTCAAAAAAGTGTAGGAACTGTTGCATCTTCATAACTTTCTCAGAGATTCATAGTGGATATGAACATAGTAAAGGCTCTGAGGAGTCCTGCAGTTAAAGAAATCTTTATGTCTTGGTTCCGCATTTTAGTTGACTACAGAGGCCATTTGTAAGTAACAGCTATGAACACAATGCAGAGTATCTACTTTGGACTAAAGATGATGGTAGACCAGAATTAAGACAGAGGCCTCCTCTGCCTCAAATGCGCCATCTACTCGCTTAGGGACCTGGGGTTGCAGTCAGAAGCACACAACCAGCTCTGCTTTAGTTCCTCAGCACTAAGAGCTCTGCCAGGAGCCACAAACCATGGGTGCCTCAGGGAGGGTGAAGTGGCCTGGCACTGGGCTAAAACTTCAGTGAAGAGCATTTGCTCTGGGCCTTGAAGGATGAGCAGAAGTGCATGATGGAAGTAGATCTTTGTCAGGGCAAGACCTCCAGCAGTGACAACCTGCCAAGAAGACCCTGCCTCCAGAACTATGGGACAGAAAGAGCTGTATTAGCAGAGATGCCCATGGGGAGTCTGGTGAGAACACAGATGCCTTTAACATGGGGCAAAGTTGGTGTGGGCATGCATCCGGAACAGGGGCTGGAAAGAGGTCCTTAGCATTCACTTTCCAAGTTTGGGGTCTGCTTTGATAAGGCAGGGTCTCCTAGGGCCTTATTATGATAGTCAGTATGGACCACACATGTGATCACCTCCCAAGACCTCTCTTTCCTCGGGGAGTCTGCCAAGTTTCTTTCCTTTCTGGAACCAGTAACTGGGGAGTTGGAGTAGAGCAAGAGGAGAATGTGGGGAACTGAATTCCTAGGGATTAATTAGGGGCCCACAATAAGATCTGTTTCCCCTCTGGAGGCCAATTAAGCATCTGGAAGGTTGGGAAAGGAAAGGTAAATATGTGTGTATGTACTAGAGGGAGGCACATCCATCCTGTGCTGGGCTTTGTCCCTCTGGGGGAGAGCAGGTCTCAGGGGCACCCTGTTCACTTACAGGAAAAATACAAGCATAAAGATAATCACAGAACAGTTTTCAGCATCTAAGAACAGGACTTTAGTATTGCACTGTAGGGAGTGCATTGTCATCATCACAGAAATCCCCCTCACCTCTGTAGTATTGTCCTACACTGTGCACTCACAGGGGACAGACCCTAGGCTAGGCTTTTATATTCATGAGCCACCAGCAATGCACATAGGTTCCTATTTTTCACATCTTCATGAACACTTACCTCTCTCTCTCTCTCTCTGTGTGTGTGTGTGTGTTTAAATAATACCCATCCTAATTTGTGTGAAGTGGTTTCTCATTTTGGTTTTGATTTGCAGTTCCTCTAATAACTAGTGATGTTGAGTGTCTCTCCATGTGCTTATTTGCTCTTTATGTATCTTCTCGGAGAAATGCCTATTTAATTCCTTGGCCCATCTTTGAATTGTGTTGTTCATTTTTGTTGTTGTTAAGTTGTAGGAGTTCTTTATATATTCTGCATACTACTCCCTTGTCAGACATATGCTTTGCAAATATTTTCTCCCATTCTGGGTGCTGTCTTTCCCCTTTCTTGGTAGTGCCTTTTGTTGCACAAAAGTTGAAACTAATGTTTTCATTGGGAGATACAGAGATCGTGCCATGTGGCAGGTGAGGCTACAGGTGGAAAACATTAGTATTTTTATTGTTGTTATTATTTCATGTCTACTCATGAAAAATGTTTAGGAGGAGCCACAGGGACAGAATGAATGGGGTGGAACTAGCCTGGGATTCCATAGCATCATGACCCACTGTCTGTGTGATTCATTCATTGTTCTATCTAGGAGAGGAACTGCAGATGACAAGATGTCATGAGTTCTCCTCCAGGGACACAGGAAACCAAAGCCCTGAACTTAAACTGAATTTGGTATGAGAAGAGAAGTCACACAAGATAGAACTTCAGTAGTAATGTAGCAATACTTGTGGAGTTGTTTACCAGGTGGTAGTGGAGTAAAGAGGAAAAAAAAAATCTTTCCATGTCCTTCAGTTAAATTCTAAGAGCTTACAGAACTCAGAGGCAAGGCAACTTACTAAGTTGTCTTTTTTAGACCTTGAGGATGGCGGTCCCAAGAAGTCTGGACACCAAATTCAAGGACTGAGGGAAAGAAGCACTGCAGATTGAATACAGTTTCGGTAGAAGAAAATGAGTCCCAATTCCACTTGCCTAGGGCCAGGAAACAAGGAGGCCGAAAACCTTTCTGACTGTAGCAGAATCTCTGAGACTGCCAAACGCGGAGTCCAGGAACAAACCATACCCTTTGCTGATCTGCATCACCAATTGAATTCCCAGCAACACTGGGTTTTATGCAACAGAAAAATAGTTAAACTTGGAAACTGGAATGAGAATATCTGTGATGATTCAGAGATAAGGATATCTGTCACCTGCATCCCCCAAACACTTTCACTGTATGGTCTGCATGTACCCAGGCTGGACAAGCCTGGCAGATCTTCAAGAGACAATTTGGCACAGGGGAAGGGAATAAGGAGCCTGGACTGGCTGCTAAAGCCAGAAACAGGAAGACATGGAACTGTATTTTGAGAAAGAGTAAAGGTCGTGGACACAGCCTACTAACAATATGGGCACACTTCTCTACTTAGCTCCCCAGTGTCATGGAATGGTTGAGAAATAAAAGGACTGTCATGTGTTGATGCCCACACATGTCTGGGAAGCAATAACCTTTACCTTATCATCAGCTAGAGGAAGGACATGCTCTGCTTTTCTGACAGGAATGTCTAGATACCAGAGGTAAACTTCCTGTGTGATTCATGTTAAAATATTTGTAGTAGCAGTGAACCTCCAGGCAGCAAAGATTGAGGTGGTAGCAGGTTCAGACTTTCTCCTTGAAGAGGATAAGGTGCTACCACAACAGAGAGGGCAAGGCTGATTCACACTATCTGTCAGCAATCCTGGGGACAGAGAGAAAAATGAGAAGAAGAGATACAAGGGTAAAGACTGAAGTTCTTGCTAGTCAAGTGCTTGAAGTCTCTGAGATTCCAAATTGTTTGAACTAATGGAAATGCAACCACAGTTATCTTTATAGTCTTGTGAGATTTGGGATCCACAACATAAAAATTGAATAGAAAAATCTTGGGTCGTCTGGATGGCTCAGTCAGTTAAGCCTCCAACTTTGGCTTAGGTCATGATCTCATGGTTCGTAGGTTCAAGCCCTGTGTTAGGCTCTGTGCTCACAGCTCAGACACTGGAGTCTGCTTTGGATTCTGTATCTCCCTCTCTCTCTGCCCCTTCCCCGCTTGTTCTCTCTCTCTCTCAAAAATAAATATTAAAACTTTTTTAATTGAATACAAAAAGCCTATATATTTTATCTGTGAATTAAGGAAAGAAAATCATTATATTATTACAATGGAATAGGAACAACTAAGATTGTATTTTGAGAATTGTTGTTCTGTCTGGCTATGTGAATTGTCTATTCACATAGACAATTCCGTCTATTGTTATTGGCATTTGTGAGTAGATTGAGTTACACCTATGAATCACGGTTCTCCAGCATTCTTTGGGTCCCAGGAACATTATGGTGATGGCTGCTTTGACATCCTTGTTCCTCAGTGTATAGATGAGAGGGTTGAGGACAGGTGTGAAAATAGCATATACCACGTTGCCCATGACGTGGAAGTCAAGAGGCAGGTCAGCCCTGTAGGCTACATAGACTATGGCAATGGATGAGTAGTAGGTGCCAACCACCAGGAGGTGGAAACTGCAGGTGGAGAAGGCTTTTGAGCGTCCTTCTCGGGAGCTGATGCAAAGCACTGAGGCCAGAATGTGGGCATAGCAGAAAGCCACATAGCGGTCATAGGCCATGACCACCAGGATGAAAGCTCCTGAGCAGGAGAAGCTGTGGAAGAGGTATATCTGCAGGAAGCAGACAGGGAAGCTGAGGGAGCAGTTCCCAAGTAAGAGGAGGGACAGCATCCTGGGGACGGTGGTTTTGGTGAAAAGGATGTCCAAGGCTGAGAGGTTGATCAGGAAGAAGTACATGGGCTTGTGGAGGCTGAGCTCTATCACCAAAGCCACCAGGACCAGGGCATTTCCCAGCAGGATAAGTAGGTAGAGGAGGAGAAAGACAAAGAAGATAGGAAGAAAGAAAGATTTGAGCAGAGAGGGAATGCCCACCCTGTAGAAGTTGGTTGAGGAATCCTCTGATCCATTACAGGCTCTTGTCTCCATGGTGAGTTAACCTGGATGCCCAGGAAGTGGGTGGTAGAAACATCTAGGAACCAGGCACATCTGGAAACCGGAACAATCAACAATTCTGGAGTGATAACTATGTGATGGTCACTATATAATTAAGGAAATGATCTTTTCTTTTATAGTAAAGTATGAAAAAAGTGTCTAAAACATACAAAACCATGTGTTTATGCTGGGTATATAGTATACAGTTGAATAAGACAGAGATGGTCTCTAACTTCATAGAGCTAATTATAGTGGTAGGGATAGACATTAAGCAATAAATCACATAATTATTTAATGTTTATTTATTTGAGAGAGAGAGAGAGAGAAAATGAGCAGGGGAGGGGCAGAGAGAGAGGAAGACACAGAATCCAAAGCAGGCTCCAGGCTCTGAGCTGTCAGCACAAAGCCTGATGCGGGGCTTGAACTCATAGACCATGAGATCATGACCTGAGCTGAAGTCGGAAGCATAGTCCACTTAGCCACCCAGGCACCCCTGAATCACATAATTATTTAATTGTATTTGTGTTAAGTGTTATGGAAGAACTGATCTTCTTTTCCATGCCCCATAGCATCTTTTTTGGGATAACAAATCTCATAAACAATGTCCCTAAGCTCGTTTTTCTTATGGCATTCACTTTAGGTTTTTAAATAGTGACATCTTTGGGACACCTGCGTGACTCAGTTAGCCGAGCGTCTGACTTGTGATTTCAGCTCTGGTCGTAGTTCGTGGAATTGAGTCCTGCTTCAGGCTCTGTGCTGAGCCTGCTTGGGATTCTCTCTGCCCTTTCCCTCCCTTCCCCTCTCCTGCTTGCTTTCTCTATCTCTCTCTTCCTCTATCCTGCAAAATAAATAAATAAACTTTTAAATTAAATAATTAAGTAAACAAAAAATAAAAAGGGACATCTTCGTTACCAAGTTGCTAGAGAGAACTGATTTCTCCAAGGTTTATAGCAACATGCTGGTTTCCCACCATAATTACTAACCAGGGAATCGCTCCTTTCTCTCTCATCCACTTGGTGCCGTGGTTCTGCCTCCATATCCTGTCTCTGGGTATGGGGCTCTTTGTTAAGTTACAGTGGAGGCAGCAGTACTGAAAATGCTCTTGATGGAAAGAATCATTCCTGAGTCAGAACTAATAGTGGATTCTGTCACAATTGGGCAGCAACAAAGAATCCCAGACAATATCTGTGTGACTCCATTGAACTTACCCTCCTACTGGCTGCCTCAGCTCAGCAGGTGCTCCTGTTTAACCATAACATGCTCCTCCCCACCACCCAGCAGGCTGACTTATGCCTGGCCAGAAGTTGTTATGTGACCTGGGAGACATTGTCCATAAAGAGAAACTGGCTTGCAATAGCAGCTCAAAGTCTAAAGAGCCTTCCCAGAGGAATCAGAAGGGAATGTTTTCAAACCACAAATCTGCGGGAGGTTGAGCTGAGGGAATTACTGATCCACCCTCTGCTTTGGACTAAGTGACCCTGAGAAATCCATGTTGATAACTGGTATTCCTGTCTGGTTGATCCTGTTGACTCCATGAGCAGTGTCCCCATGATTTTTCTGGAATCACTTCTAAATTCTCTCTCTTCTTAAAATACATCTTTAACGTTTATTTATTTTTGAGGGACAGAGAGACACAGAGTATGGGTGGAGGAAAGGCAGAGAGAAAGGGAGACACAGAATCTGAAGCAGGTTCCAGGCTCTGAGCTGTCAGCACAGAGCCTGACACGGGGCTCAAACTTAAGAACCATGAGATCATGACCTGAGCTAAAGTCAGAGGCTTAACCAACTGAGCCACCCAGGCGCCCTTCTTCTTAAAACACCTCTTATGTGTAAGACCACCAATATAAAACCTGGAAAAAAACGCCTTTATTTTCAAGTTCTACCACTTTCCCCCAAAGCCCAGAGACTGAGCACAGAAAGGGCAGGGGCTTTCACAGGTGCCACAGGTGAGTTGCAGAGTCCCCACTTGTTTCCTGGAGATCCAGAAGTTCAGGTTTTCAGAGGGAGAAAAATACTAGGACTAAGGTTTTCTATTTCCCCTTCTGGTTTTTTCCATTGATAACAGACACATCTATATTTCATACTTTCCAATGTTTATTTTATTTTTGAGAGAGAGAGAGAAAGAGCATGCAAATGAAGGAGAGGCAGAAAGAGGGGGACAAAGTCCCACACTGACAGCAGAGAGCCTGATGCAGGGCTCACACCCATGAATCATGACCTGAGCCAAAGTCAGATGCTTAACCAACTGAGCAAAAAATATTTCATATTTTTATCTGAGTTCTATATTGTGAGTGCTAAATCAAGAGTTGGTATCTCCTAATTCAAAACTTCCTTTGAAATGTCCAGATGTCAGACCCAAGGATCTAGCAAAAGAGTAAATATTCTTCATCCCAAATTGAGAGGATTATCCCTTGATATCTAACCCCATCCTGAGATGTTGGACCACTGGGATTTTCTCAAACTCAAAACTGTACTGCCCTGGGCACCTTTATCCTCAGAGAGCAGCTGTGGCTGACAGTCCCAGGTGAGGCAGACTAGGGCATCTGAGAGGCAGAAACACAGAGAGCCAAGGCCAGAGAGGTTCTCAGGGGCCAGCAAGTCCAGCTGTTTTCTCTTCCCTCCTCTGCTCCACCGCTTTGCAGATGGAAGCACAGACACTATGACTTGGGGGACAGGTGGCCCGTGTCTTCTCACTGCCAGGTCGAGCTGGACTCTCCAACAGGCACGCTAGGCAGGGGCTGGGCCAGCGGCAAAGCAGGGACACCAAAAATCATTTCTGAAAGAATTCCACATTTGATATTTCAAAGCATCATTCAGCTAGCCCATCCTAGGAAATATCCAAGTTCGGCTAGACCTTCCTGCACTTAAGTTACAGGTTAGGGTCTTTGTTTTACTCTGAATTGCACAGTACATCCGAATGATGCAGTCGTGTGCTCAGGGCCCAAAGGGTGCTGTTTCCCAGGGCACAGAATTTGCCCCAGCAGGTCCTCCCTGTCTGCATTGTCCACCAGCCAGTTACAGAGAAGGACAGGAAAACCAGGCACTGGAACACACCACCTGATGCCACACTCACATACATCCTCTCCCCTCGTCATCCAAGCCTGCCAGGGAGTGGTTATGCCCTTCAGCCAGTGAGAATCTGAGGGTCCGTCCAAGGCCACGGCTGGGGAGGGTGAGAGCAAGAGCGTGTTCTGAAGCCTGGCTGCTTGCAAAAGACTGAGCCCCGCCTGGCAACCAAGAGTGCTGGCTCCTGGACCAGCTCTGCCACTGCCTTTATGACTTTGGACTCCTGATCCTCGGTTTTCTCATCTGGACAATGAGGGCTTTGTAGGAAAAGATCTCTGGAGGGTTTCCAATTCAATGAGCCCTCTTCTGAGGGTCCCCACTGTGGTTGGTCGATCAGATGGCACAATGGCCCATGGCCCAAAGGGAGAGGGTGAGGACTATCCTGCCTCGTGGGCACCTGCTGCCAGCTGGGTTCTGTCACGTGGACCTTAGTGGTCAGTGTGTGGACTTGTGAGTCTGAAAGGACCTGATTCCAAACCCAGCCCCTATTTCTAGTGATGTGACCTTGGGCAAGTCATTTCCCCCTCCTGGAGCCCGTTCTTTCATCTGTGACCTCCTGGGTTGTTGTGATGCTTACAGAGAGAATGTTCAGACGTCATCTACATGGAACCTGTAACACGTAGGGCTCAGGCTTGCTAGTGTGTCCAATGGTGACTGCTGTTATCAGTCTTGCTTTCCTGTAGAAAATGGGAAAGCCTTGGCCAAGATGATTTGAATCCCACTCATTAAGTGTACTGCCTTGCTCAGCTCTGCCAGGATATGTGGTCCAATTTCCCACAGCCTACATATGCACAGCCAACCTGGATTCTGGTTGCCTGTCTAGTGTCTTCTAGATCACTCTAGATCATTCTTATAGGCTCTGGACTACCTGCCCTGTTTCCCTACCCCACCATTCTCTGTCAGTCTTGGAACCCTTTATCCCTAGCCCTACTTACCTGTTAAACCTGGTTCACACTGGTGTCTCCTGTGGTGTCTCCATACAAGGCCTTGTTGGGAGCTAAGCCATGGTCCATTAAACCCTCAGCCCTCTCCTTCTAGGAAGGTCTCCTGGGGTGCTTCTCCTCAAGATGGTACTCCCATTGGCACTGCACCCACCATCCCTCAGAAATCAATTCCCTGGCATCTCTTAGAACATATATGGGGGAGGGTAGGATTTGTTCCTAGACTTTGCTGATAATGAGAAGAGCATCATTAACAGTCCTCAAGGGCTTAGCACTTTATTCCAATGCTGTATACTTTATTTTCATTAGAAGTTTGACTGAAATCCATGGATGGATCATCTTGTCTACCTGATTTTGCCTGTTAAAAGAGCCTGTTCAGTTGAATTCTCTTTCACTACTCTATATTCATTAAGTTATTTATTCAGCAGTATTTACTGAGTTCCTAATTTGTTCTGGGCACTGTTATTTGGTATCCTGAGGGCAGAATTAGCTGCATCTAAAGCTCAAAGGCTCTTATCCCAGACTGGGTCTTGAGACATGTGATTTTGGTAATAGCTGCCTTGACGTCCTTGTTTCTCAGAGTGTAAATGAGAGGGTTGAGAATTGGTGTGAGAATAGCATATGCTACATTGCCCATGATGTGGAAGTCGAGAGGCAGGTCAGCCCTGTAGGCCACATAGGCTATGGCGATGGATGAGTAGTAGGTGCCAACCACCAGGAGGTGGGAGCTGCAGGTGGAGAAGGCTTTTGAGCGTCCTTCTCGGGAGCTGATACGAAGCACTGAGGCCAGGATGTGGGCATAGGAAAGAAGCACCAGGAGAAGGGGCAGGAAGGATACCACCATAGCAATACAGAAGCCCATGAGGGTCTGGGGCATGGTGTCAGAGCAGGAGGCCTGAACCAGAGCTAAGTGATCACAGAAACAATGGTAGATATGAGCAATGTTGTTATATGCCATCTGAGAGGTCTTGACCACTGCTGGGATGG